AATAATACATTTAAAAAAATAGAACTATATTTCATAATCAACAAAGAATATTTATGAATTAAATCATTAACCGCCTGCTGTCAGGCTGTTGTAATTAAACGGCCGGGCAGCAGACGGAATGCGGGTGGGCGTTTTTAAATGTCCTAACCCACCCCACTCGTGCTCACGAACGGGAGATTGGCCTTCAATGTAAACAGCCAGCGATGGCTGTTTACATACAAGCGTTCAGACGTCTGTAGAGACGCCCGATCACTTGTAATATGCGTGCGTTTGTGCGCCCCCCCCCCTCCGTTGCCGCTGGCGATCCCGAGCTCCGCTGTGCCGGACAAACTACAGTGTAGCCAAGCTGCGGTGCGGTGCGAAGTGGAAGGTTGGGGTTTTTTTCCCTTTGCTTCGCTTCGCCTGCAGTGTGTCACAGCCTTGAGAGGGAAAAGGAGGGAAGTCTGTCTTAATGCCACCCTTCCCTCATGAGAGTGACAGTTTCAAGTCCCCTCACTGTATCTGTGTAGTGTGAGGGAAAGTTCAGTAAGGTCATGTGACCTTAGGGCTTGTTGTTGAAGTCTCACTCTCCCTCAGAAACAGGCTCACCCAAAAAACTTTGAAGGATGTCTGGGGAGTATGTTTTTGAGGCAGATGCTGTGAACATTGCACTCCACACATAACAGTCTGTAACACCATTTCGCCACCATGGTCCGCCGTTTATGATGCATTAATACCTGCTGCTAGTGTGTTTGCACACACACAGTGCTGATGCACCTATCTCGGGACAGCAGGCTTTTTTCATGGACGCCAAACATTCTAATTTCCAGCATGTGTCAGAGTGCCCACTTACATTGCTAGGCTCCATCAGAATCAGTGCCCCTTTAGAATGTTTAACCCCATCACTGCCTCGCATTGTGGCTGCCTCTGGTAGTTTAATTCATGGTTTTGTACTAGTACATGCTGAACAAATCAGAACATGTAAATCCTGTTATTTAGCAATTTTCTTAATTTTAACGGTGAAATAACTGTTGCACTTTGCTATAGCGGTGCTTTGTAATATTGTTAATGGGTGGTTTGGCAGATTAAACTATGATCCTGTCAGGAGGATTGCAGATTATCACAAAGGATGTCATTGTGCAGCTCAGAATACATTCCCCACATTGCTTTCTCAACTGATCACTGAGATAACTTATCTCAGCCTTTCACAGCTGTTACGTGAGATAAGTTTTCTTTTCGCAGGTTATTAAACAGCCTCTGTGCAGCCGAGAAAAACAAAGAGATCTGCTGAGTAAAGTTAACTTGTGATAAAGCTAGTTTTATCACAGTTTATTAAACGTACACCTAAGTCTATAGGTGATTTGTTAGGAGTTACATGCTTGTGTAGTTTGGCAAATCAGTTTAAATCCACCTAGTTTAATTAAAATTATTTTATGGTCATCTGACCACAGCTTGTAAGAGTGCTTACCTCAGTAATGGAAAATACTAAACTTAAAGTTTAAGATATTTCTTTTCTATTTTAGTAATTATCTTACTTGGCAGACCTATAACCTCACATAAACTTAACATATTTTAACACCACATTCCACTATCCTTTCATCCTTTGGTAAGATTAGGTTGGAGCAGGGATAGCAAACTCAAATGAAAACAGTGACCTGAATATTTCTTCTAAGGCCTGCAATTGTGTCTACTGGGGCCACATCTACTTTATAACAGAAAAAAAGTGTAACACGTTAGTAAGGCATAACTTTTAATACTGATGGTGACATCATTTTGGAGACTTCCCCACACCATATGTTCCTTTTGACACACTGGCACAGTAAATTACGTACATGGGTGTCACTGGGACAGGAATAGGCTGACAGCATCAGCATCATGATAGAAGTTTTAACCCTTTCTCTTTCTTCTTTCAACACCCTATCATTATAACAGAAAGTAAAGAGAAAACTTCACAATGAGGAATAAAAACCTGACATAAGCTCCAACTCTTCTCCACATTGTCTAGAACAAAAACCTTTTTAGCTATAGGTTAGGAATTTATCATTATCAACATACTTGCCACTTAAAACATGTTATCCTACAGAAAGGATCATTAAAACAATCATTAAAGTTCTCAGCTGCAGATTAATGTATTGAAGTGTGGTTTTCTCAGCCGAAGAACAGCTGGGGCCTCCTTCATTTTAAACTTGACTAAGAACCACAGGAGCAGGAAGAACAGGAGAACCATGTATGACCCCACAAACACAATTTTCACATGCCTCGGTTAAAGGATAGTGGAGACATGGTCAAAATAGGATAGGTTTACAAAAGGCTTTAGATCTTCTTTAATGGGAGAAATAGATGTACCTACAGAAAAACAGTTTGGTTGTTTTCAAAATGGGCATAATGTTTTCTGGTTCCCTGTGCAGCCCCCATCCTGGCTATTTTGCATTCCTCGATGTTTGTTTGGACTGCTTATGTTCCCAGCCATTTGAATCGGTGACCCCAAATCATGTAGTATTTCCAGTGTGTCTCTTTCAATTTGGAAAGGAGATCTGTAGACTGTGAACAATTGCATGAACAAACTGCTGCTTTTTCTGCTCCTTTACATATCAATACATATAGTAAAAACACAGGTTTTTTTAATAAGGATGACTCATTGAAACCCATTCTTTTTTCATTCTTGTTTTAGCATTTTAAACCATTTTAAGTATTTGCCAGCATCTAAGATGTAGCAAATCATACATATATCTGTAAACTAGGGTTTTTAAACAATTATTGCTGTAAATACAAATGTATACACAGGGAAGGCAAATAATCATTCTGCTTTTATAAAAGTGGGGTAAGGTTTACTGGTCTCTTTTATTGTCAAAAGAGTCCTATGCCAGCCTTGGCAAACTCTATTTTCTTTAAATGGTGCTAACCCTATAAACCATTTTTTTGTGCTGTAAAACATTATTCTTTTGAATAAGAAAAACATTTGACAGTTGCCTGTCAAATACTGCTGTCATTTTAGTGGTTTTTAGATGTTTGTCTCTTCCCTGCTGATCAGGGAGATAAAACTTGATCAGTTATCAAAAATGCTGCATATAGCATATTAGGAAATTGATTTTCCCTCTTCACTCTCATTTGACAGGCCCTTTGCTTTTATGTTGAGTAGATACAACCCAGTATTAAAAAAACACATATCCATTCTCTATTCATAACAGTCCTTTGCAGACCGCCTGCCTGGGATGCACCCAAAAAAAAACCTTACATGCATGAATTTAATATTCATGTTTTTTTCATGAAAAGCAGGGCAAAGTGCTGTGATGAGGTTTAAATTTCAGTAATA